CAGAGAGGCCGGGCAGGAACAAGGCAGGAGCTCAGGGCTGGAAATGCCAGTGATGCTCTGGAAGAGGGGCAGGGCAGGGCAGGATGGAGAGTGAGGATGAGCAGGGAGGGTGAGGATGAGCCAGGAGGGTGAGCTTGGGTAGGATGCTCAGGGCTCCAGGAAAATTCTCCTTTCCAGGGTGAATGTGGCAGTGGGACCACGTGAAGACAGAGCTGGGAAAGACACTTTCCTTAAGCTGATTTTTGAGGTCGAGCCCTCCATTGCAGCTTTTTTCCCATCTGAAAAAGGGGTGAAAAGTCTTTTCCTTTGGGATCACGGGGAAGGCCAGGCCCATCCCCTGCTCAGGGAAGCTTCCAGCCAGCCACACGTCGCCTTCGGCAGCTTTATAAAGATTCCCTGCCGAGATTACTCCTTTCATTTATTGCAAAATATTGTAGCGCCTTGGATGTGTAAAAATAAGGATTGTCCCATCTTATCTGGGAAGGAATGGGGGGAGGGAGGGAGGGAGGGAGGGAGCAGCACGTGTCTCTCGTGCTGCTGTTAACCACTGAGGTGCCACATCCCCTCTCAGCTTCTCCCTGAGCAGTCCTTGCTCAGGGCTGCGATCCCCAAATTGTTCCTTCTGTGCACCCAAACATCCTCATGCTCCCCATCCCCTTCCAGAGCTGGGCAGCTGCCAGGCACTGCAGCCTCATGGCACAAATTAAAGGCACAAATTGCTGGTGCCCGTGTTCATCATTATCCAGGGAAGAGGGAACCCAGCCAGGGATGTTCCAGCACCATCCTGGGGGTCACACAGGCACCCCCTGAGTGGAGCTTCCTGCTGTGTGTTGAGCATCCATCCTGCCCTTCCTGGTACAGAGTATCCTTCCTGGTAGTGAGGATCCACTCTGTCCTTCCTGGTTCTTATCATTCCACCTGATCCTCAACATCCTTCCCAGGATTGAGCATCCTTCCTGGTCCTGAGCATCATTCCTTTCCAGGATGCTCCGTCTGGGCATCCTTCCTGGTGCCATTTTGATCCCACAACTGCTTTACTCAATTTAAACCAAGCTAAACCTGATTAATTTCCCCTCCTTCCTTTCTTCCCACCTTCCTTTTTTCCCCTTGACCTTGTGGGCTGTGGCTGCAGCCAGGTGTGCTGTGGGGGTCCCTGGGGACACCAGGGGTCAGAGGAATGCAGGGAATACTGTGAATATGGGGGATTTGGGATATGCAGGGAATGCTGGATGTGTGAGGGAATGTGCCAGCAGCAGGTGGGCACATTTGAGGAGGTTTTGGGAGAGCTGTTTCTCCCACCTCTCCCACCCTTCCTGCAGCCATCCCTGCTCCCTGTTGGACATTTTGCCTCATCCTGCTGCTCTGGGCACAGCAGGGATGGAGCTCCCTGCTCCATAAACCAGAGATTTATCCCAGACCGCAGCCCCAGAGGGGTCTGGGATTTACATCTGTGTCTGGGACTGGGTTTGGTGGCCAATTTGCTAAAGTAAAAAGTTGTTTAGCTGGAGGCATAATCTCATAAGCCCGTGCTGCCATTAGCTGGGGTCTCCTCGCTGCCTTGGCTTTCCAATAATGCTCCAAGCAGAAGCTCAGAGTAATATAAAAAGCCATCAGATTATTACTGCGGGCGATGCATTTTCCATTTACAGTAATAAAATACCGAAGAAACAAAACAATTTAAAATTCCAATAAAATTCAAACCAAATCTTCGGCTGCTGAGCAGATTCAATTATTTAGCCGTTATTGAGTGCAGGCTGGAAAAATAGAGCAGGTCAGGGAGGGAGGGGGATCTTGGGCAGGGAGGGGGATGCTGGATGCGTCCCGTGGGAATGCCAGTGAGGGAGGGAGCTGGGAGGAGGCTGAGAAGGAGCTGGGAGGAAGAGCAGGTCGCTGGCAGTGCCTGGGCTGGGTTTAGGATGGTAAGAGGTGGTGATGGCTGTGCCAGCAGCCAGGAGATCGGCCGTGCATCCCCGACCCGCAGGCTGCGATGCTCCAGGTTCAGGAGGAGATGGACACAGAGGAAAAACAGCGAGAGGCAGTGTTGGGTCTGGCTCCAGGTTCAGGAGGAGATGGATAAGAAGGACAAACAGCTTTCCAGATTCAGGAGGAGATGGATAAGGGGGACAAACAGCGATCAGCAGTGTTGGGATGCATTTTCTCACTGAAGGATGCTCAGGCTCTGATGCTCCAGGTTCAGGAGGAGATGGACACAGAGGAAAAACAGCAAAAGCCGGTGTTGGGGCTGGCTCCAATGCTTCAGGTTCAGGAAAAGTTGGACAGGGAGGACAAACAGTGTTCCAGGTTCAGGAGGAGATAGACAGGGAGGACAAACAGCGAGAGGCAGTGTCGGGGCTCCAACGCTCCAGGTTCAGGAGGAGATGGACACAGAGATAAAACAGTGAGAGGCAGTGTCGGGGCAGGCTCCGATGTTCCAGGTTCAGAAGGAGATGGACAGAGAGGACAAACAGCGTTCCAGGTTCAGGAGGAGATGAACAGGGAGGGAAAACAGCGAGTGGCAGTGCCAGGGTAGGCTCCGATGTTCCAGGTTCAGGAGGAGATGGAATGGAGGACAAACAGCAAGAGGCAGTGTCGGGGCTGGCTCCAACGCTCCAGGTTCAGAAGGAGAAGGACAGGAAGGACAAACAGCCAGCAGCACTGATGGGGCTGGCTCCAGGTTCAGGAGCAGATGAACAACAGTGCTCCAGGTTCAGGAGGGGAGGGACAGGAAGGACAAACAGCGAGCGGCAGTGTCGGGGCCGGCTGCGCCTGCCGGTGCCGCGGTGGCTCGGGCGAGTTTGCATCCCGCAGCAATTAGGGCCCCTGGAAAGCAGTAATTACTGCCGAGAGCGGCAGCGCCGCCGGCAGAACGGCTCTCTGTAATTTTCCCGGCGGGGGTGCGCTGCGCCACCCTGAGATGTGACAACACAACCGAGTCTGTGCCTTGTCACATCCAACGCAGCTGGAGCAAGGAGGCGACAAAGGCTGCGGCGGGCACGCGCCCCGGCTGGCGGGTGGCAGTGCCCTCGGATCCAGGCTCGGATCCAGGCTCGGATCCAGGCTCAGATCCAGGCTCAGATCACCCTCTTGTCCCATGGCACAGGGCCAGCCCTAAAGTGTCACCTGTAGCCTCAGTGCTTGGGGACAGGGTTTTGGTTATCCCCATCAGGAAGCCTTGGTGACCACAGGTGACGCCACCTCCTTCCCTCCCTCTTGTAACAGCTCCTTTTTTTTTTAATATTTTTTTCTCGGAAAGGAGCATTTTCCACGGAATGAGCTCATTAGGGATTCTGCAAGTGTCACCAGCTAATTAGTGTCATGTTAATTGAGTATTCTTGATGCTGCCACCTCCAAGGACAGTGGTGCTGGCATGAAGGGGAATGCAGATGTGCGTGCCGTGCCATTCCATGCCATTCCATGCTGTGCTATTCCATGCTGTGCCTCTGGGCAGAGAGATCCCATTCTCAGCCTCCTACACCCACTGGCTTGGGGGGTTCCCATGCCCACCATGCCCCCTCAGTGTGCCCTCAGTGCCCTGCTGGCCCTGCAGGATCTTCCAAGGGCTGGAGGCTCAGTGCCTGGGATGTCCTGGTGCCACACGTCCTCACGTGTCCTGCCAGAGGGAGCTGCAGGTGCTGTTCCTCCCGTGTTCCGACAGCTCCTCTAAATCCTCCTCAAAGGCACTGCTTTTAATTGGCTTAATACACCTGTTAATGACAATGTCTATTTAAGACACCTGTAAAAATCCCATAATGTCAGCTTAATGGGAGCAATGGCTGGTGCAGGTGCTGCGTCTTGTCTGGGCAATTACTGCCCTGATGGAGAGCATGGAGAACAGCCACAGCCTTGCTGCTGTGTCCCCCCTCTGCTGCTGGGAGCAGGGGTGATGTGCAGAGTCACAGATTCCAGTGCATCCCTCCTGCTGAATCCTGGTTTTAACCAATGCCTGGTTCATCCGGGCATGTCACAGCCATGGTAATGTCACTCAGAGTGGAACTGGGACAGGCAATTCCCTCACAGGGAATGTGGAATGTGCTCAGAGGTGCAGCTCTTCCGTGGTGGCTTTGCCACCCAGGATGTGGTGGCATCAGGGGTTGCTGATGCTGGTGGCATTGGGAACAGAGTGCTACAGGTACTACTGAACTGCCTGGGAAGGCTGGGCTTCCCCAAACCCTTCAATTTTGCCATCTCTTCCTTGCAAAACCTTCCTCTGAACAGGCACCAGCTCTGGTATTCCCAGTGTGCCATAGACATCCCTTGGCAGGGCTGGGAATTTTGGGAACCAGCTGGGAACCAACCCTCATTCCCATGTTCTGATGTGTACGTGCACGTGCCTCTGTGTGTGTGTGTGTGTGTGTGTGAGTGTGTGTGGAGATTTTAAACACCTAATTTATTCCATCTATTAGATAGATTTTGTAGATTTAATCATTTTCACAGTTGGTGGCTCATTGGATACTCAAGATAAACTCCAAATGAAAGTATAATGGGAACGACAAATGAGTTTTCACACCAGAATAGCAGAAACTTGCTCAGGAAAGAGTTTGAAAGGAACAAAACTACATACATATATAATTTTTTTTTCTGCAGTGGCTTTTGCTGACTCCAGTAGGTTACCACAGTTAATTTCACCAGTTTTGTTCATCTGTAAAATTGCATAAAAGTGACATTTTTGTGCTCATTATAGGAACTGCTGATTTATGGCTGGTAAATGCAATGCTTTTCCATTTTTGGTGAGGTTCTCGTAGCAGCGCAAAGCACCCATGAAATTGCTTGTATAATGTAGTTTAAATCCAATCTCAGAGAAAGATTCCCCCGTTGGGTAAAGTGACATTTCCATTCTCCACACCGAGTTTATTTTAGGCCACTTACAAGTGACTCCCGTCAGCGGGAGGGGACAGCTCGGTGTCCTGACCTGGTTTTTGCCTGGAGAGGTCTTGGGGAGGATGGTGGGAGGATGGTGCTGGGTGCTGGCACTGGATTCACCCCAATCTTTGCCCCCGCAGGCGAGACGGCCCCCATGCATTCCCCGCGCTACCCCAGCCCCGCCGAGCTGGACGCCTACGCACAGAAGGTGGCCAACAGCCCGCTGACCATCAAGATCTTCCCCACCAACATCAGGGTCCCCCAGCACAAGCACCTTAACCGGACGGTGAACGGCTACGACACCACGGGGCAGAGGTACAGCCCCTACCCGCTGCACGCCGGCGGCTACCAGGGGCTGCTGGCCATCGTCAAAGCCTCCGGCAAAAGCGTGGTGAAGAACTCGGAGGGGAAGCGGACTAAGCTCTCGCCTGCCCAGGTGGGCGTCGCTCCCTACCCCGCCTCAAGCACTTTAGCTCAAGGTCCCTCCTGCGCTGGGCAGCTGAGCTACCACGGCGGCCAGAAGCAGCTGGAGGGTCCCGTGCCCCCCAACGTGACGGTGGCAGCCTCGGTGCTGCCGCTGGCGGGCAGGAGCCTGGCGCTGCCGCCCTCCAACCTGCCCTCCATCCAGAGCATCATCTACCAGATCAATCAGCAGTGCCAGGCGCAGGGTGCCCAGCCCGGCTGCCCGGCCGTCGTGGCCGCCCACCCCAGCCCTGCCAAGCACGGCGCCTTCGCCCCCGGCTACGGCGGCACCGTGCTGCCCGAGTGCCGCAAGGGCGCCGAGCTGGCGCTGGGCTCCAACCCGGCCGCCGCCCTGGGACCCAAGGCGGGCGTGTACCCCGAGGGCATGGACTACCTGGTGTGGCAGCAGAAGCAGCAGCAGCAGCACCTGCGAATGTACAGCGGGGGCAGCGGCGGCGGCGGGGCGCTCAGCAAATCCCCCGAGACGTGCGCGGGCGCCTCGCGGCCCTACGGGCTGGGCGGTGCCGCCGACAAGGTGAGCTCGTCCCCCTTGAACTGCATGCACGGCAACTTCGCGGTGGGGCAGTACTTCGCTCCCCCCTGGAACAGCATCCTGGTGACCCCCAACAGCGACTGTTACAACCCGCCGGAGCTGGGGGCCGCGCCCCGCGAGCTGGGGGTGCCCCCGGGCGAGGGGCTGCCCAGCAAGACCCTCTGCAATACCTCCATCCTCAGCAGCAGCCTCCAGTCCCTGGAATATCTCATCAACGACATCCACCCGCCCTGCATCAAGGAGCAGATGCTGGGCAAGGGCTACGAGACCGTGTCTGTGCCAAGGCTCTTGGACCACCAGCACGCCCACATCCGCCTGCCCGTCTACAGATAAGGGACGGATGCTGCTCTTCCCAAACCCAGGGCGAGGACTTTGGCGCGAGCTGCAGGTGCCGGACCGCGGCAGCAAGGGCGGGGGGACAGGGAGGGGGACGCGGGGCTGGCTGCTGAGAGGGCTCCCGGGACACTGGCGTTGCACCGGGGTCCCCAGACTGGACACGCCCGCGACCCGCTGGAGGCCGAAGGACCGCTTGTCTATATAGCTCAGAAATCATTTTATCTCCACGAATGTGAACAGGGAATTGCTACGAGTTGCTGCTATCCAGGGAGGGGAGGCTCTGCTGCTGTGCTGGTGGTGCCCAGAGAGGGGCAGAGCCCGGGAGGCTCCAGGGTGGGTCCCAGCCCAGTGTGGGGCTGGGAGGCTCCGTGGTGGCCGGTGCTGGCCTGGCAGCTGTCCAGGAGGCTCCACAGTGGCCTGTCCTGGCACAGGAGGCTCCGTGGTGGCCAGTGCCAGCCTAGAGGTGGCCGGTCCCAGCCCGGCGTGTGGCCGCAGGGAGCTGGCGCCTGACCTGTAGCTCAAGTCCGTAACTTGCACTGCTTTGATTAAAGCTAATAACTGGGGACAGTCTGGAGGCTATTTAAGAAAAACACTTGAAAACTTGAACAGATTTTTTTGTTTTTTTTTTTTTTAATTTTGTTTTTTTTTTTGTTTTTTTTAGTTGACTAGGCTGTACATCTACGTGTTGGCTGCTACAGAGTCTCCTCCCACCCTTCTTCCTCCTCATCCTCCTCCTCTCACCCAGCCCCACAGTGGCCACAGCTCCTACTCCCACTCAGCCAGGAGGCTGGGGACCCCCTCAGCCCCTCTCTCCTGGGAACCCCTGGCTCTCACACTTCCAGGCTGTTTTATTTCCTCCCTTACTGTCAGTTCTACCTTGGTTCTGGGTTGCGGTACTGGGGCGCTCACATACCTCCTTTTTTTTTCTCTTTCTTTTTTTTTTTTTTTTTAAAAAACCAACCCAAACAATTCCAAAATGATTATGGTCCGTTATTCACTCTGTGTAATTCTGTGTTTAATAGATTTGTTCATTTACAAAAGGCTCCTCACCACGAAATACAAAGTGTTTTGATGTTTAAAGGTAAAAGAAGAATAATATCCCGATGAAACCCAAGGTGATTGTGCTCGGAAAAAGAGGTACTGTATCCCTGAAAGCCTGTTCAAGCACTAAGTGCATTTACAAATCTCTGAGAATGTTTTTTTTTTATACTAAAATTGACCATTATATTCTACTGTGAGAAGTGCTGGCTGCACTATATTGTTTTAAAAATGAGAAAACAAAAATGAAAAAAAAAAAAGAAAAAAAAAAGAAAAAAAAAAACCAACACAAAACCCGCAAGCCGTGTGTCCGGATGGTGTTTTTCCCAAAGTAAAACCAGGATCTCTCTGGATGTGTGCTCTGGAGTCTCTTTGCTTTGCTGTGGCCTCCCCCAGAGCCGAGACACCCCCCCCTGCTCCCAGAGATTTTTAGGGCACGGAGGAGCACCTATAAATAACCTGTTAACGATGCTGAGCCATTAATCCGGCGGCTCCACCTCACGCCCAAGGGGTGGCACATGGGACAAATCCCTGGGATTAGGGCTGTGGCCTCACGTGCACCCGGGGGACAGGGTCAGGCACCGCGTCCCCATCCTGTCACCAGCGCAGGGGGTGGCATCTCCGCTGCCATCCATCACTCCTGTTTCCCACTGGGTTTCCATTGCAGGGCCATTCCTGGTGCCCAGGTGGGGTGAGGGCTCTCTGGAGGCCCTAAATCCGACCCCGCTGCTCTGCCCAGCAGCAGCAAACACAGCAGGATAATGGGATTGGATCCCAAATTGCTCCTGGATGTGGATGAATCTCCCCAGCCTCCATGTCCCATGGTGGGACACATGGCATGGCCACGGAGGGGACTGAGGGTGGCAGAGGCTCAGCTGCCTTCTGTGCATGACCAGGAGGGTACAGGGGTGGGATGGGATGGGATGGGATGGGATGGGATGGGATGGGATGGGATGGGATGGGATGGGATGGGATGGGATGGGATGGGATGGGATGGGATGGGATGGGATGGGATGGGATGGGATGGGATGGGATGGGAACCAATGGGGACGGGAATGGCGACAGGATGAGGATGGGAATGAGGATGGGGATGTGACGGGATGAGATGGGATGGGATTTGGGCAGGACAGGGATGAAGATGGGAATAAGATGGAGACAGGGATGTGGATAGGATAGGATAAGAATGGGGAAGGGGATGAAGATGGCGATGGAACGGGATGAGATGAGGATGGGGATGGGATGAGGACAAGGACAGGTATGATGATGGGGACACAGCCACGTGCCTGGAGCTGTCCCATGGCCATGGCTGAGGCCAGGGCTGGCAGCTCCACTCGTGTCCTTTGCTCCATTGCCCCACAAGGGCGCGCGTGGCTCCGCCGGTATTTGTGGCACGCCAGGAGGGGACCTCTCTGTCACCAGCAGCAGCGAGCAGTGACAGCCGATCCGGGGAACAAAGAGAAATTGGGACAAAAGGAAATTTTCACGGAGGTTAACACTGCTGATGGGGGGGGGTGCCACTGCCTGCCTGCGCATTAAAATTATTCCGTCTGGAGGAAGATCTCTGCTCAGATCTTTGTCATTAAAAAGATGCCACATCAAAGGAATGTGAGGCTGGAGCACGGCGGGGCCTCTGTGCAGGGGAGCCCCTGAACCAAAGGGGGCTCTACAAAGGCTGGGGTGCACGGAGCCGTGCTGGGGGCTCCAGGAGAAACTTTGCTCCCTCAGTGGTGCCTGTGGGAGGAGGATTCATTAGCGCTGCCTCCATCAGATTCCCCAGCTCGCCATAAATCAGGGCGAGTGGCTGGGAGCGACGGCGCGATCCATCTTGCGGGTCTCCAAGTCATTACATTTCATTAGGAGGTGTGCGGGGGTTTTTATTATTTAGCAGGTTAATTCTGCCCTCAGATCACTCCTTGGGAGGAGGATTTTGCTGGGGGAGGCTTCAAGTGTGGAATGCAAAACGAATGGGATCCTCCTTGGTGGGCACCTGCTGCAGTGCCAGCTCTGCCAGGTGCAGGTGAGCACTGGGGGAGCCAAAAATGTGCACAGACACTGGTGGGAGATGGGGCAGGGACACCCGAGTACATCCCACCACAGCCCATTGCCCTCCCATTCCATGGGGCACAGCACCCACGAGCACTGTGAGAACACACTGAAGGAAACTATGCTGCTTTTGGCTCACAAATACCCTCCTATTCAAATTATCCCAATAATAATACCAATAATAATACAAATTTCTAAGGCAGGCGTGCACTGAGGCTGATATTAAACTTAGCGGCCGCCTTTGCTGTTTGGGAGCGAGGAGGAGAGACAGGCAGTATAAATTACGCGGCTGCAAAAGGACTTAAAAAAACCCATCTCTCATTTTGATTGATATTAGCTTCACAAATTAAGCTTTAGATTTATCTAAAAATAAATTTGCTTCCACGCTCCGCATTCTGGATGACAAGTGCTTTTCTCTTCCCTTTGTTGGGTTTGTCATCTCTGGCAGGGCAGGGCGGCGCGGGGAGGGGGCCAAGCACCCCCCGTTCACCAGCTGAGGCTGAAACAGCTCCAGGCTTGGGGTAAAAGGGCCAAAATCAACCCCTGAAGGTGGCAGAGGCCTCCTGTGCTGGGATCTCACCATGGTGGCTGTGGTGGCACAGTCCTCACAGAGCCACCACAGGGTGCAGAGTGATGATGATGATGATGATGATGATGATGATGATGATGCAGGGGCTTGGTGACAGCTGTCCTTCCCACAGCCCAAATCTTTTTAGAGCTCACTGATATGTGGTCTCTTGGCTTTGGGGCATTAAGATCTGCTCGGGAGGGGAGAAAATGGGTTTATGTCTCATTTTACTGGAAAATCCCATGTCTGGTGCTGCAGCCGGGGGCAGCCACGGTGCTGAGCCCATCTCTGGCTGAGTCCTGCTCCAGGGCTCCCCAGCCACCACACACGGCCCAGCCAGGACGGCCCACTGCAGACCCAGTCAGGTGAAAGCCAAGTTCATTGTTTTCACCCAAGATCCAGCTTAGAAGCAGAGCAGCTCAGCTCCTCGTTCGATTGCGGAACAGGAGCCGCCACCTCCGCCTCTCCCAAGGAGCGATAATGAAACATATTCATCCCTCACCCTGGGGAAATACTTAAACCACAATATGAGAGATGTATGTAAATCACATTTAAACGGAGACGGTGCCGTTAACGCTGACGGCGACTCATCGAGTTGGAAGATGAAGCGTCCCCTCTGCTGCTAAAGGGTTTGCCGAGAGAGCAGGGCTGTCCCCAGGCCCTGGCCAGGGTCTCTGTCAGTGTCACCGTGTCACCATGCCACTGGTGCCCACCTAAAGTGCTCCTTCACACCTGCACCATGTCCAGCTGTTAAAGGAATGCTCACCACTGCAGGTGGCAGGGAGGATGAGGAGGAAAGGAGTTACAGAAAGGGGTGATGGATGGGATGGGCTGAGGATGGGAATGACATGGGGACCCACGGGGATGGGCTAGGGATGGGAAGGGGTGGGGTTCGGATGTTATGGGGATGAGGAGAGCTGGTTTGCCGCGGTCCGGTAGCGGCCCCAGCGCTGCGCTCGGGGCACGGGGTCAGCCCGGCGGGACCGGGACCGGGCCCGCATCGCGCGGTGTGTGCCGCCCTCCAGTGGACAGAGCGCGAACTGCAGCCCAGCACGGCACCTGGGCATCGTAACCGAGTGTCACACCTGCGCATCATTACATACCTGCACCTGTACATCATCACATCCCTGCACCGCACCTGGGCATCGTAACCGTGTACTGCACCTGTACATTGTCACCGAGTGTCACACCTGTGCATCGTAACCGTGTACCGCACCAGTACATCGTATCCCTGAATCGCACCTGAATCGCATTGTACCCGTCACACTTGTACATCATCAAATCCCTGCACTGCACCTGTGCATCATATCCATGTGTCACACCTGTGCATC